GAGCGGCCAGGGGAGAGAGGGAGGAGTCGGCCCCGGGACTGGAATGGAGCAAACCATGTCAGACGCATTTATGAGTGAGTCGAAGCAGACCCCACGAGTTCGGGGAACTCTAATGCACTAACAAAAATCACTTCAGAAACAGCTGCAGAAGAGCCTGTCCATCCTTCGGTGTCCCGTGCCCTTAGGTAAACTTGACCTTCAGCACATAACACACAGGACGCCCAGGGAGGCTCCCGTGAGGTGGACCCTCGATGCTCACCCTCTCACCCAGCGGAGGACACTGGATGGATGTAGTTGATAATCAAGGATGAAGCCTCCATAGCATTTACATGTTAAAAAAAAACGTGAGGAGTTCTCGTGGCTTCTAGTGTTTCCGTTTAGATTACAAGAGTGCGAGGACCCTTTAGCCAGGAACCAAAATGAGTGGGGTCACACGGGGGGGGGGCGGGGGGGTAAGGGACGAGGGCACATTAGCGGCTGTGGAAGGGCCTTAGGTGGGCTCAGAATCCACGCTGGAGCCAAGACCTACACAGGGAGCAGGATGGGTCACGCAGGACCCCACGGAGGTGCCCCGGGCCACAGGAGCAGCCGGCACACTGACCCGGGGCCCTGACTGGCCGGCTGGGAGGGTGAAAGAGGAAGCCYGTGTGGCTGAGCACAGGAAGGAGCCTGCAGACCCCAGCCCACCCCAGCGTGGGAGGCCCTCCTGTCCCTCAGCTCCATGCAGCCAGAGACTGGCGGGACCCTCCAGTGCTGGCCAGAGAGGAGCCGGGGCCCTCCCTCCATTCTGCGCCACGTCTCTGGAGCTCCACGAAGATGCTGCACGTCACCAGCCACCAGAAACACAAGCCACAGCTGCAGAGGCAGCGCCTGGGGCCGGCTGAGAGAGAACCAGGACCAACAACTGATGAGGCTGCCAAGAAACCGGACCAACCCGCGTGCCTCGCTGCTGGACGGTGATGTGGCGCAGTCGCCCTGGGAACAGTGGGCAGCTCCTTGCCCGATGACATGGAGTGGCTATCCCACCTGCATCCACGCCTACATGTGCCCAGGAAAAATGAAAAGGCCTTCACAAAAACTGGTGCACATGTGTTCATAGCAGCAGCATCACAGCTGAGACGGGCAGAAACCAGGCCCTGCAGCCCCGCCAGCTGTGCCCAGGGCAGGAGGTGCCTGCCCACACCATGAARTGCTACCCAGGCAGGAAGGAAGTGCTGCCAGGCACTGCCACCGGGTGAGCCTGGAAACCAGCACCCATGAAGCATCACAGACTGGGGGGCACTGACCCGGCGTGTCCAGGGCGGGAAGGCCACAGAGACCGAAGGTGGACCTGTGGTCCCCGGGGTGGGGGAGCGTGGTGGGGTGCAGGTTTCTTTGGGGGCAATGAGCATGTTCTAAAGTGAATTGTGGAGATGGACGCACAACTCCATGGATCCACCAAACAGCACTGGCCTGTACGCTCCAAGTGGACGATTCGTGTTCTGTGGATTATACCACAACTAAGCTATTAACAAACACGAAGCGCGAGTCCCTCCTCTTGGTGGGAGAACACCTGAAAGAGGGTCGAACGGCCAGTTGCTCTTCAGAACTCCTTGGCCAAGAACTTTATAATTCTTCTTGTTTCCTTGTCCCCCCATKGATGCTGGGACCTGGTGTGGACCTTTCATCTCCATTTGTAAGGAGGAGTGCGCAGGTCTGAGACAGCCTCTGAGCCAGGGTCATCTCCACTTCACTCCCCCTCCCTCTGGCTCACAAGCATCCTCTAGGGACACTAGCTGCCTGTGGTCACTCTCAGGCCAGGCTTTGTCTTCAGGGTCAGACTGTACTTCTAAGCAAGCTGGGTTTTCCATTTTCTTTCCCAAACACAGAGATTCCCAGTCTTTGAGAGGTTTAGAGATGTAAATCAGCCCCTAGCTCACAAAGGGCTGGCCAGCAGGCAGGGAGAGGGAGAAGGGGGCGTGGCAGGTGAACGCCAGCTGGGATGACTGGGGTCCCTGCCACCCTTGGCTCCTTTGGCTCCTGCAGCCAGGAGGCCTTCCAGCTTTCATATCTCCTGGGGGCAGACGGACATCTGCAGGAAGAAGGGGGCAGAGATGAGGCCGGTTGTGCTGGGGGGAGGGCTGGGTGGTGCCAGGGGGAGGACTGGGTGGTGCGGGGGGGTGGTGCTGGGGGGAGGAGGAGTGGGTGGTGCTGGAGGGAGGAGGAGTGGGTGGTGCTGGAGGGAGGAGGAGGTGGTGCTGGGGGGGGGAGGAGTGGGTGGTGTGGAGGGAGGAGGAGTGGGTGGTGCTGGAGGGAGGAGGAGTGGGTGGTGCTGGGGGGAGGAGTGGGTGGTGCTGGAGGGAGGAGGACTGGGTGGTGCTGGAGGGGAGGTGGGGAGATGGCCAAAAGCAAAGTCCAGGAGGTTCCACTCAGAACACCTTCCTCCACCTCCCCAGGGATGAGAACTGTCACCAATGCCCATGAGAATGTTGTGTGTGGCACTCCTGGCACACAGATGCTGACACTTCCATGAAAGACAAACCGAAGAGGAGAATCGAGTGGCCTAGGGACGCAGGGCAGACCACACAGGTGCCTGGGACCCTCGAGTTGTGGTGGTAAGGATCAGAGGGGGAAAAGTGAATTAATATATATATTCCTATCCATGTCCACTGGCCGTCCAGACAGGGGTCTGGGTCCGCAGGACTCCGAGCTGCTTTTCCTCTCTGGCACCACCCTCGCCGGGAGCTACAAACATGGGCTCCGTGTCACTGCACCACACCCTGTAACACTCAGCAGATTCAAACTCAGTGACTCCGACACTTACCTGTGACAGAAAATGGACACACCGGTGTCTTCATTTCCAGTTCCTTAAAACCTGCTCAAGCCAAATTTGTTCAGTCTAAATTATTAAATGCATGAAAACATCCCTAAAATACAGCCTCTCCTCTCAGATGAAGATGTTAACAGTGAAGAAAACAAGTGCAAGTGACCCGATCCATTGGCCTGTTAGCAGAAGTAAGTCTCTTCTGAAACCTCACGTGGAAGTTTGGAGCTGGAGACTGGAGGGGGAAAGCAGGCCGGATGCAGGGTAGGTAACCCGGTGAACCTGAGCCCCAAGGAGGGTCTCTGTTGTATCAGAAAGGTGGTTGAAGTGGATAATAGAAGGTTTAAGAAAGAGGAGAAAAGAGGAGAAGGAGGAGAGGGAAAGGAAGAAGTAGGGAAGCAGAGGGAGGAGAGGAGGGAGGGAAGAGGAGTGGGGTAGGGAGGTGGGGTTCCATCAGGACCCAGCTTCTGGGGATAATAGRGAGCTTCCCAGGGGAAACCCTGTCTTCACCCTCCATGTCAGAGACAGGCTCCTCTTGGTGACGATGAAGCAGATCTGTACTGGGTRGGGTCTCGGCTCTCCCACGGGCCCAGATCGGCCTGTTCCCTCTGTTCCCCGACTGAGTACCCCGGCTGAAGCTCTTGGAAAACCCACATAGTCGGCGGTCCTGCAGAGCCAGGCAGGAATGAGCCGGGGGATGTCTGGGCCGGGGACAACACTCTTCTCCACCAGGCAGGGCACYGCCCAGGGTAGGCGGGCTCCCGAGGTCCTGCAGGGGGGCCTCTGCCAGAGAAGAACAGGTGAACGGAGACATGGAGAAATGACCAGGAGGAAGAAGGAAAAGGGAGCAAGAAGATGAGACCCAGCAGACGTGTCCCCAGAGAGGGACAGATGCTTCTAGAGGAAATGGCTCAAAGAACAGAGAGACGAGGGCTTCCAGATCTGTCTCCCCTCTTTACCTAAAGTACGAAGAGAACTTTCTATCCCGTGGGAAAATCTTGGCCCTCAGGGGTCCAGAGACCCTAAGAGAATTTCAGAAAAGCATTTCATTTTCTGGAGGGAAGAGACAGCCGGACCCCTGGACCTCAATGGGCTTCTCCTACCGACAGGACCTTTCACCGGGTTGGCATGAAATGACCTCGYGGATGAGAATTGCCAACTATAGATATGGAAAAATCTTATTTAGGTGAAAAATGTGAGAAATCCTCTTCTTAAATGGTAGAAGTACATTCTGATATGATATTACTTCATTGCATTTTACAATGCTTCAGAAATATATCACTATTCATTATGGAATAGATGGACTATTCTCTCATCAGTGATTATGCCTGTTTTTATTGTAGTGCAGGGCCATTTGAACAGCCAAGCAGTGCAGTTACGTTTCTGTGTGACCAACAAACAGGAAGATCTGTAAACCAGGTTCTCTCTGTGGTCAGACACAGTCAGGATCTCACAATTACATCATCACTCATCTTTGGAAGAAAGAAACTGAATCCAATTAAAAAACTGGAGTGATTCCTTGAAGTTAAAAATGTGTTTTATATTTTTTTCCTACCAAAGAGACCAAAAATGACACATAAACACAAATCAAGAGACGGAACAGGGTACTTACAATTACACATAWTAAAAGCAATTTTAATTAACTAATTTATTTATTGATCTTCCCTATGCCTTAAGTATGTGACCCATTTAGAAAGAAAAAATGTACACACAGAGCAAGGCATACACCAGGTCTAAACAAGATTCACTGGAACGCCCTTGATTCTGCTATAACTTTCTTCATGAAGCACCTTAACTTTGTGCAACAGCTTTCAAGCTCATAATTCTGGACAAGGAATTGTCAATTTTCTATGCTGTGTTTTATTAAGAAACCAGAAGCCAAGACTTCAGGAATGGAAGCATTTTGCACAAGGACAGCCCCGTCCGGAGGAACCCTGCTCAAGAGGCCTTCCAGTGCCTCGCGGACCCGATGCGTGAGCATCACTGACCGCTGGGAGCCAGGGAAGGCCATGTGATTCTATTTCAAAAGATTTGCTTCTCCTCTCCTACGTGAAAGCTGCTTCTATTACCTTGACAGCTTKGGAACAGACGAGATTTAATAGAATCCAAGAAGTGCCAGCAGAGATCCGTTTCCATTAATTCCTAATTGGTCACAGTGAGAAAAACGGAGGTGACTTTTCCCGGTGGCAGTGTCRTATGGCTTCACCCTCTCTGCCTGCCACGGCTGTCACATATCACAGACACCATCACAAGGGGACACTCCACGGATCGAGTGCGGGGGAAGCAGCCGGAGGGGCAGGCAAGGAGATTACATCTACCCTTTTGCTGCCACTCTTCAACTTTTCAAAAATTTGCTGTACTTTAGAGGAAACCCTTCAGCCTCCAGATAAAATGGACTTCGGATTCCCTGAACAGAGGTGGAGCCCAGGTCTGCTCCAGAGACACAGTCAAAACTCACACTATTTTCTGATACTGGAGCGCTCAGCCCCCTCCCACGGGGCACGCCCCCCTCTACAGAAATCCCCTGGAACTTCTCCACTTAAACCTGTAAGACCCGGGGCTTCATCTTTCACTTCTCSGATGATCTGAGAACTAATTAAGTTGGCTGGGGACAGCTGAGTGTGTTTGATCAGACGGTGCCTCTGCATCGAGAGTGGTCGCCTCTGCGATCTACAAGCTCTCGTCCCCTTGCTAGCTGGGTGCGCCCAGGCAGGGCGGAGGGTACACTCACCTGCCATTTTTGGTCACGATCATTTCATTAGTGACCTCCTTGAACCTCTGCCAGAGGGGAGCGTCCTCCAGGATGATGCGAAGTTGCTTCTCGGTGGGGTCGCCTTTCTCCCTGCCCGCCTGGAGCTCACTCTCCACCACATGGAGCAGGCGGGAGACGGTGCCGTCGCTGGTCCTCGGCGTGCCCAGCTCACTCATGGCACCGGCCCTCTCAAACTTTGCTGAGAGCTGTCAGCACCTTGCCCGCTTCTGACCCCTTCCTTCCTCCTTCCCGCTTTTCAACCCAGCTGGCTCGCGCCCGGGCAGTGGGAGGGTGGCGCCCAGGCTCCTGCCTCAGCTCCTAGTGTGACACCCCACAAAGTCCCCAAATTATACCACCAACCTGTTAAGCCTCATTGGGGAGCGGGCAGGAGGGAGGGGGAGAGGTGGGGAAGAAAAAGCCCTCTCTTAATTACTCACTGGGTCAGGTGGAGGGAGCCGGCTCTCCCATTGGCCGCCCTGCCTGGAGTAGCCGTTTAAGAAGAGTACTCCATCCAAATTATCAGGCTTTTATCTTGTTGTACCTGAAGAGGTCTAATCGGTGTATTGAGGACCATTTTCCCGTTAATTAAAATTATTCCGGGCCCAGACTGCAACAATCAGGCAGATCCTGTTTGTGTGTAAACCATGGCATGTGGCACCTACGGGAAGAGGTTCTCGGGGGAATCGGCCAACTTGGTGCCACCAGGCTGTCCYGCTACAGTGGCACCAGGGCCCCCAGCTCGGCTCCTGCGCCCTGGCAGACACCGAGCCCCCAGAGAAGAACCGTGTCTGTGGAGGTGGAAGACTGTGCCGAGAGGCCCCACCATCCCGGGGGCAAGGGGAGACCTGCCTGCCCCGAGCCCGGGCAGAGGCAGGAGTGAGGCCTCCTCCTGCAGGATGTCCCCACTGGCCACCTCTCTCCCGAGGGTCCTGCACACCACCCTACTCATCTCCAGGGCCCATCTGCCTCCAACAAGCAGAAGAGCTTTGAACCATGTCCTCACTCCCCAGAAGCCAGAGCCTTGATTTTTCTTGTTTCCCCCAGAGCCAGAGAGAGATTCAAATATGTATGTATCATACCATTCTCCCTGCAAAGCTCTCGGCTCCAGTAAGAGGACCTTTCACATTGTGCACAGTGATTTTGTCATTGGTCCAAAAAGGCATTCTGGTCGTCCCTTCACACAGCCCACGGCCCAGTGTGGCCTTCCAGGAGGGAGGAGGGCCCCCATTCCCTGAAGAAGCAAGTGTGTTTTTACCCATGACACACAGTACTAAAGCACTCACAGTACTACTGGGCACACAGTACTAAAGCACTCACAGTACTACTGGACACACAGTACTAAAGCACTCACAGT